GCGGCGGCAGCGGTGGTGGTGGTGGGTGTTTCATATCAGGGGAAAGGATGACTAGTTGTTAGACAGATCCACGAAATAAGCCCTCCATGAACAGACGTTTTTAGCGCGACGGTGGCTACATCACTTCCTGAAATACTAGGCGCTTATGGGGAGGTGAAAGATATCTTCTGTCAGCAACATGTTCGGCATTCGGCTCAAGGACTGGCGGTTAAATTCATGGCCTAGGAAAGGGGAGGATCTGGAGAGGTCGAAGGGGCTTAGGACACGAAACCGTGAACACGCAACCCTATCCCGCCAACGAAGCCTCAAGCCCTCGAAATGCAAACTGCGCCGCCAGGTTGAAAAGTACGGCTTCAGGAGCTCAACTCTGAACCATGACACACAGCCATGAGAATTGGGGATTTAGGCTTCTTCTTGGGGTGGTTGGGCGACAGGACGGCACGAAGCTTAAACCATTACCTGAACTTAAGCCCCGAAACCTCCGGGCACGAAACTACTCCTAAACCTCCGAACATTAACCTTCCCCACACCCCACCTCAAACCCTCCCAGACCCATACGAAACCCCAAACCCCTCAAATCCCTCCGCGCCTTTTCCTGACGGCAGTGATCTGCCCAGGCTCCCATGGCCGCAGCTAACAGCGACTGGAGCAGGCCCACCTTGACTTTACAAGGCCCTGAAACGGCTTGGGGGTTCAGCATGCTTTAAGGTGGGATCAGGACTTATAGGACTCAGGTTTTTTTTTGCACATCTATTTTGCGTCTGCACGACACAAAGAGCATACTGCCCAGGTGAACGTTCGGTCAGGTAGGGCTTGCTATTAGGCTTCCGCTTCCTGGGACTCAAGCAGCCGATGAGCAATGAACGATTCCAGCAGACACCCCGTACAGCCTTCTGACCTGGGCATCACTGAAGCCTCCATGTTTCCAGGAGGTAAAAACACTGGCCCCTTCCGCACTTAACAGGAAGTCCCCCAACTCATTATCAGCAACCACAGAGCCCTGTGCAAGTGGTACTTCCTCCAACGTATTTACAGGCTCCTGCTTCGCTCTCACAGGCCCTTCAGAAGCTGCCGGTCGGGAGGCCACCAATGTGGCCGTACTCGAGGAGCTGGCCGCCACACCATCCGGTCCACGCGCAGGAACATCGTCCACCATGGTCCACGCAAGGCCAAGTGTCACTGGCGAATTGGGACGCATCAGGAGTTCAAACTTCTCTTGGAGCACCGTTTCAGCTTCCACCCTCATGTGCATAACCAGCCTCTGCCGCTTTGGTGAGGGAGACCTGTCCTGCATGGCTTCCCAGAGAACCCAATCATCCCATGATTGTTGTGCACTCGCAGGCTGTATTTCTTTCATGAGCTCATAGTTTTCCTGATCATGTAGTCCTTGTTCCTCCAGGCCCTTCGTACATCTGCAATTCGTACTCCCATTTCTCACGCTGGAATTGTGCAGCTTGTTCAGCCAACTCTTTGCGTATGGCCTCCTCTTCTCGCACATCAGCACTCAGGTTTAGAGTTCAGGGTTGATTGGGCGTGGGGTTTTAGAGTCCTTGAATGGCCTGAGGTTTAAATAGAAGATCCTCATTATAGGGACCCCAAGCTTAGAGTTGCGGGCTTCCGGTCTGGGGTGCAGCTCAGCATGTACGGTATCTACAGCCCAATTTATATCCTAAGCTCTATAGCACCTAAACCCTAACGCCTGATTTAAACGCCAAACACTACAGACACCACCTGTCAAACCAACAATAACTAAACTCTAAACTTTAATGACCCCAATAATTCCTAAACTCTAAAGACCCCCAAAGCCAATCCCTCAACCCTACGATCGTCAAACCCTGCAGATCTCTAAAGCCTACATGGACCCCTAAACAAACTCAGGAATAAACCTCGAATCGCATACCGGATCCCCTTTTATCACTTACATTCTATTTGCTAGAACAGAATTTCCCCAGAGCCTAGAGGCCCCCCGAGACGCCCCAAACATCCCCCCCCACCCCCTGGTCTCCCCAATCGGGCCCCCGCCGCAGCGCGCTGTGCGGCGACTTCGGCGCGCTGCTTCGCTGCGCCGCCCAAGAGGCGCTGCTGCCTGGCGGCGCTAAAAATCACGATGAAACACAGCGCTAGTCACGAGGGCAATTTCAATAGTAGCAAAAATCAAAATACCACTACTAATAGGAGCGTTAATGGCAGAATGGGATTTAGTTGCAGAACATTATGTGGAATGATGTTGAAACAGACTTAAGAAACACAACAGGTTCTAGGTTTTGGGGATTGTGCAGGATGATGCTTGTTTTGGAGGATGATGGCTCCCATGGGTTTCAAGATTTGGGCAGCGAACTTAGGACCGTTCTCCCTAGCACGTGACACGCAAACAACCACGCCAGTTCTCTTGGCCCATTGTGGCTGAAAAGCTTCTATAGGCTCCTTGGAAAGGCGCCCCTACTTTCTGAAAGTCCTGAACCCTGAAATCTAGTCCCGAAACCGTGGTCCTGATGCTTCATTCCTAACTCCTAACGTAACTTCGACACCCTTAACCCAAAGTTCAAATCTCTAAGCCCTTCGCAGCCTTTAAGCCCATAAGTAAGCCCCAACACCCTGAAGCCCTCAAGGCCTGCTCATGACTGTATAGTCGCGCCAGGAGCTGAAGGAGCTCAGCCGAAGTGCCTGGGCTTAAAATGTAGAACCTGGGTAAGTTTAGGGTTGAGGGCAGATTCTCTTTAATAAAAGGGTTTAGGGTTCAGGGTAGGTAAGCTTTAGGATATGTTTGAAGATCTTGGGTTCAGCGTGCAGGGTATCTTCGCCTATATCACTCATGCCTACGTTGCCTACATGCTAGTATTTCCAAAGCTGCCGTTCATGATTGGGAGGTCCACGTACTGGGTTCCTTGTATGTTGAGTGATCAGATAGAACTGGTCGTAGTGGGCTTTGAAAGGATGATGGTTGTTGAACGAGTCAGAACATCCGCATGCCCTCAACCAATGACAAGAACTAGAAATGGGCAAGTAGCATAAGCCATCCCGTTTGGTTGTTACATGCTTGCGGCCGCGACAATACTCCGATATGAGATTTGACGTTCATGGCTTATTTTTTTTAATGTGCTCTGCGGGAATGAGGGGTTGGTCCTAGGCGTTAAGGTTTGGAACTGCCGCGGAGCCTAGCTTTCATATGGGTTTCTTTCTAGAATCAAGAACCATATTGAGGACCATACCTCTGTATTCCTTATTAGTTGCTTATGATAGGAAGATGTACAGGGAATTTCCAGCAATGAACCATTTTCTGGTGGAGTCTGTCCTTAGCCCCCGGTGCCGCATGCGCTCGGCATGCACACATCAAGTGTGGAGCTCCCACCAACGAGGGTGTACAGGTTTCAGGCTAGGCCTTCAGGGTTTTATGGTTTCTGAAGCCGCAGGAAATGATGGAGGGGGTCCCTTTGCAAAAAGGCCTTGCAGCCCGGGATAGAAGGCGAAAGATAACCCCAAACCATTAAACTTAAACATGTGAACCTAAACCCTTAAAGGAGCCTCTAGACTCTACAGCCTCCCGAGTGGCTCCCGAGCTGAGCGCGTCACTTCCTGAGAACCAGCGAAATGCTTGCGCAGGTCCTGCAAGCAACGGTCGGAGGGTTTGATTTCTTTTGGGCTTAGGGTCTGGTGCGCTTGGTGAGGGTTTGAATCTTGGATTGAAGATTTAAGGTGACCCGAAGCCCTGAACACCAAATTCACCAAATCTCCAAACCTCTGAATGCTGAAATCCCTGAGGCCCGAAACTCTCCAAACCCTGAACCCCAAAGACTGAATCCAAAATCCTTTAAATGCCTAGTCACGCAAAACCTAAATGCCAAACCTCAACAGGCAGAGATTTTGGCCCAGAGCTCAGGTTGAACCAAAGCCCTGTACTGTCCTGAGTATAGGGGCCCCTGAAGCCCCAAAAGAAATTCAAGTTGTATTCCTGGGGTTGTCATTTTTTACCGAAGCCCCTGCTTCCTGGATCCGGCTTGTGGCTTCGGAGTCGTAGGATGTGGGCTTTATCGGTTTCAGGCTTCTACAGGGAGGTTTTGACCCCAAAGAAGAACGGAATTGGCAAGGGCACCCCAAACATCCCTAAAGCTCTAAGTCTCTGAGTCATACTACACAGGCGGTGCGCCGAAGTGCCTCCTGCCGGGCTTCGATCTGCGCCTCCTGCTCTTGATGTTTGGGATCTCAAAGGGGGGGAGGTTTTCAAAGGGGAGGGGGCTCCTTAGGGACTGCAAGGATAAGGATAGATAAAGAATGACAGGGCGGGAGTACAAGGGATCTAAACGGATTATTTCAATAAACTCCCAAGTCTCAACAAAAAAAAGATAGTTTTGGGGTTGCGGGCTTTGGGTGTAGACACCAGTTTAGGGCCTAGGTCTTTGGGCTTGGGAAATAACATCAAGATCTAAGCTGCTCCTAGGAGTTGCTGTTGAAAAGCTTGCAGAACTTCTTTAGAGCTTCCTCGGAGGAAGAGTTTAGGATTTGGGGCCAACAGCGCCCAAGTACCTATGTAGTCTAAACCGAGCCTCCCAGGGGTTTGACAAGAGGGGAGGGTTGTGAAAAACTACCATATGGGTACGGGTATTTAGGGCAGCACACACCGAAACCAGTATAGCCATTCGTGCAAGTCACAGGCTTCTCTGCATGACCCTCATGCTTTCGGGATCAGGTACAGTTACAGGGCTGTCAGCCACACAACGCGCTTCATCCTATATAGGCCTGAAGCATCCGCAAAGAAGAAACAGCTGTGACTGAGATAGTGCAAGAGCGGCGTGCAAATGACAGCCACGACCGTGCTACACTGCATGACCCACCCGGCAGCACCAGCTGAACTGCACACATCTCCACACAGAACACCTGCCGTAGACAAGTGGTGACCCCACTTGCCCGACTTGAAGGCCCGAGGCTACCCAATTAAACTCGAAGCTCGAAGCCCAGCGCCTTCTCTTGGCGCATCTTTCCAACAAAAGACTCGCGGAGCCGCTCCAGATCTTCCTGGCGACGCTAGATTGGAATGCCAAGCTCGGAACCTTCTGTAATTGTCTAGACAATTGCTCTTCCCATATAATCCAAATCTAGCCATAATATATTATAAGCCAAACCCCATTCTGATTATAAAGGCTATCCAAGATTTGAAGCAAGGCACCTTTTGGAAAAATGTATTGAACACTGCAACGGGCTTAGCAAGAGTTTGGAGATGGCTGAGGGATGAGTTCTTGTGGTTCGAAGCCTTGGGCGCAGGATTCCGATCTAGGGTTGTCAGGGTCAGGGTCGGCTTTAGCGCCAGGATCAAGTTCAAGTAAAGGCTTTGTATTGCAGCTTTCCTTTTGCAGCTTTCCTTGGTGAAGTGTTTGCTCTTTTCGCTCCGTAAATCTAGTTCCTTAGCCTCTCACAACCCACACCCTGACCTGTAAACCCTACAGCCTAAGCCTACAATGCCCTACGCTCTACAGCCCTTCCCCTAGACCCTCAGTGTTGACTCACAGACCTCTAGCCCTACACCTTGAACTCTGCCGCAGTGCTATCTCGAAAGCCCGGCCCAGGAATTGCTAACTCTGTCCGTTCCCTAAGGGTCCTAGTGCCGTAGTGCACGCATGCTGTCATTGGGGCGCTCGGACCCGTATGGGTTCAGACCATCCATGCAGGGCATAGGAAGACATGGACACCCAAAATGGGGTTTCGGCTCACAACTACAAATATCCTGAAAGGCTCCGGGTATTTGTCAGTATGCTTTGGTTTGAGGAGATTTCCACACTGACACACATCGGCGGGCTACATGCCCCTCACTAACCCTGGAAGTGAGGACGAGTTTTGGCCGAAAAGTGTTAAGGTCCAGGTCATACGGTTGATGGAAAAAAACCTTGCACAAGCCTGAACCCCAGCCTTGTTGCTGATCTCACTTGTACATTGTACAGTTTAGGCAGGCATGTCAGTTTTGCAACGTGGGAAATTCTCACCTTAGTCTTGCACTTGAGGCCAGGGCTTCAACATAGCTCATTTAGGGGACGGCAGAAGACTGTTGGTTTTACTTCGGTTCAGTGGTGAACCGCCTACGCGTAATCTGAGCTCACAACCCGAGTGTTTTCCCACCTGCACTAGCGATCTGCCCTGTGCCGCAGCTTGCAGGCTAACATGATCAGAACGCAGATTGAGGGGCATGTAAAGGGAAGCGTAGCAGGACTCTCTGGGTATAAGATTCTTGGACAAAATGGCTGTTACAGTAGGATATGTCCCTGAGCTGCCGTGCAACTGAGTAAAACCCACTACGCAAGCTCGCTTCTGAAACTCCAACATACCTTTCACCGAATCATCGCCAGCCCATCAGTCTGCGTACAATTCGGCTCCGTCTTGCAACTTGAGGTGGTCAGGTTACAGCTCATATGAGTTACGCGTCAACCCTAAATCCAAAGCCACAAAGCTCATGCGAGTACTCCCTCGCCCATTTTATCACCTAAAAATCTCCCACACTCCCTTTATTGTGCGGCTTTAATGTAAAAGAGGGACTGACACCTCATCCCGCCCCGGGGTGTGCCTCATGCGCTGCTTTGATGCGCTGAATCTCAGCCTTGCGGGCTGGGACGAGGACTTTAAGCTATGGACTGCTAGGCGAATGGAGGTGCGCTAGGATAGCAATGGCGCATTTGTAGCAATTCAATGTTGGAGCTTCAGAATACAAAACAATGAATATTTGTGTCCTTGGTACAATTACAATGCCAATTCCAATGGCACTGGCACGAACTGTTTAGGGCATAGGGCTTTGGGATTAAGGATTTCCAAGTAACAAGATGAATTTGGCATGTAGAGTCCTTTTGTCGAGGGTTGCGGTAAGCCCTAAACCTTATATATCGTTGCAACATCCGCCTATATAACCCCTATCATACACTTTAACCTAACCAAATCCCTCTGATTATCCTAGGGCACCAATGCCCGAGAGCAAGGTGTAGGGCCTTTCCAGAAAACTGTCCAAGGACCACAGACCTGATACCCTAGAACTGCGAAGGCCTACTATACCCTAAGCCCGGAGCCCGATGCCCAACCAAGTTCAGGGTTTAGGAGAGTTTAGTTCCAAGACAAGGACCCTACGACCATCATGTCGGGGCGCATTAAGCTGTATACATTTCATCACGGGCTCTAGGGGTGCTGAAAGTAATTTCCCTACATACATGTACAACTTTGCCAAGATCGCAGAGCAGGTAGAGTCCACATGAGCTGCAGTCTAAACTCCTTCAAAGGGGTCGTATAAGGGGATTATATATGTCGGGGACTTCTATGGAGCTTAATAAGTGGAATATCAGGAGTTTAGATTATATCTCATCTGACCTAGCTAGAGCCTAAACCATGACCTGTCAACTGTGCTAACCTTTTAGCCCTCAATGGAGTACTGCAGTCCCAGAAGGGTTATGACAGACAAATATTCGTGATTGTTAGGCCCAAGAATCAAAAGTAGGACTGCGGCGAACCACACCTCCTTGAATTTTGCCAAGCGGCTGGACGACTTTAACGAGCCCAAAACCCCCTAGTTCAGGACCAAACCCAAAAGCATATTTGGGAACCGAATATCATGCGGGGTATATTCCTGAATTAAGGGGCTCTGGGCTCCCTGGGTTTACGGCGTCATGTCTCCTGATGCTAATTGCTCGTGGTGGCTCCGCCATCTAGCACCCTTCCACAACTTTCTAATACTGTGGTAGACGGGTGAAGCTGCTCAGTCAATCTTATGGTTGATGACGACAGTTGGATACACCACATTCAACTGAATATGGGCTAGAGACAAACACGGTGCTGATAGTGAAACAAACCATGAAAACTACATCATAGAAAAAGGTGTACCAATCATGGGAATTGCTGTCCTCCGACCTTGAATCTTGCTCAGGCGCAGTAAGACAAAGTCATGTTTACAGCTACATCTCGAGTTGAAGTATCTATCAATCGCAAAAGTTGCCATTCAACAACGACCCAGGAGAGTAGTGTCTTCCAATGTGTTTAAAGAAATCTGCGCCTGGCGCTTGTCGATGATCTCTGAACGAGCAGCGCCTACAGCAAAGGACATGCACTTTTGCCCAAGGGTCCCTCGTGATGAAAAAAAACGTATGCGTGCACATGTTCTTATGCATATGTATATATTGTATACATCTAGATATGTATCTATGTACAATGACTACAAGCCGCATGTCCAGCTTATTCGATGAACATGCAATACATGCAACGTGTTGTTGCTTCGTCAAATCATCGCTTGACCGTTACAAAGAAGAATACAAAGGGGATGTCAGGCATCAGTCACGTGCCTCCTGGATTTCAGTTTCATGTCTCGGCCCTACTTTAGAAAATGCTGTCCCTGCCTCAAGAAAGCTAACTACGTGAAGGGGGTGGGTAGTTTCCCTGACATTAATCACTTGTAGGGTTTAGAATAGAGGGTTTAGGGTGTAATAGCTTTAAGGCCCAAGCTTAGGATGCAAATTACAGAGGTAAAAGGCCCTTGACTATTTCGCTTCTTTCACATCATACAAACCCATCCGCATAGGAGAGTCCCCCAAAATTTGCAGCTTGCACTCCAACCCAGGAAGCTTTAACTGGTAATTAGGGACCCGAGGAAATATACTCTAAGCCGTAAAGGCATCCTAAAACACTTCAGGGTTTAGTCCTTACCGGGTATCGGGTATGGGCCCCTGGGAATCTTCTACACATGCAGCGCTGGCGCCTTGCCATGCTCGAAGTAAGAATGCTATGGTGAGAGATTCCTCCTCGCCAATAGCAGCTGATGCGTGATTCTTCACGGGCTACCCTCCCCTAAAAAAGACGGAAGCTGACACGGTCCCCTCCTCAAAGGACAGAATTCTTCGTAGGGCGTTTTTTGGGCTTCCAGGTTGGTTTGGGGCAGCGTGGGTGTGCAGGATGGACAGCTGCTCTGATGTCTGCGATTGAAACTCATGCAAGAAAAAATACTCGTCCCAATCACACGTCCTCCTGCACTTCTCTGGAAATGCCAATGCCCCTACATAAAGCAGTCTATCTTGAATCAGACCACGGATCCCCCTAAACCATTAAGTTTTCTCAAAGCAATTCATGGCATTGAGCTCGCAAACAGGATGGGGCCGCACCGTCTAGGATTCAGGGTGTAGGTGCCCAGAGAATCCAGTACCACATACTTGAAAATTTAGGGCCTAATTGATCCTCCTTAATTGAATGGGTTTTGGACTCCCCTGGAGATAGGGTCCTCGTATTCAACATCCTGAGAGGCAAAGGCCACGAGGTCGTGATTCACTCTGCCATCATCGGAAACACTTCTGCTCCAAACCCAAAGTCGAGATATATATATATATATATGTACATATCTATATACCCTTAAAAGATACAGAAGTAATTAGTTACATAAGCTATTGAATACATAGTTAAATAGACAGGTAGATACATAAATAAGTAGATAAACAAATACATACATAAGTCGATAAATAGATAAAATAAAACAATAAATGAATGCATCACAAATGAACTGGAAGCTCTACGTTCGAATTCCGAAGCCCCATACCAGAAAACACAACACTCCTTAATCTTAGCACCTGAAGCCTATAAACCCCACGACCGAACCCCTCCGCCCAGTGGCTCCTGCAAGCCGGCCATCACATACCGCTCCTGCACGGCTTCTGCTGGCTTTACGGTGTCTGATTTAGGGCTTAGGATTTTGGCTGTAGGGTCTCAAGATTTGGGCTTGATAGATAGATCTCGCACTGATGCAGTACCTTTGTGGATGTCCTAACACAACTCCTGGCTACTTGCTGGCTGTGAGACATCTTAGGGAAAGAGCTCCTTACAACCGCCTTCGGGATCCTCGTGTTGTAACGTAGCCGTCGTTACATGCCACAGTGCCTGGCCCCATGTCACTCAGCTTGTACTGAGCTGTACATAGTATATTGTCGACGAGCCTGGGACAAGAGGCTCATCATGTCCTATATCAGAGCTCGAAGTATGGGAATTCCGACATGGCAGAGAGAAATTTCAGGTTCCTGTGTACGTGAAACCTGTAACAACTGAGGTACCATACATGTCCTCTGGGAGGTGGACTTCATCCAAGTTTAATTAGAGTGATACGCAAGTTGATGCGCAAGTTGCTCGTTGGCATCATCACCTTGTAGGCAAAGTCGGTCAACAAGGTCAGCATTCCCGAATTAATGAGGATCAAAAGTCCTACTGGTTCTTGGCAGGGAACAAAACGGTCGACATCATCCCTATAGAATACATTCCCTCATTTTCATATTTTTAGCCCTATATTAATACTATATAGTCGCTATATAACCTTGCATTACTCCTTATACCCATTTTCCCGACTAAGCCCCAGTAAGAAGTTGATCCTGGACAGACGGAGGTGCTTCGCAAAATGGATGCTCTCCTCGTGGTACATTGTATTTCTTCCTTGATATTCTGCCTGGGTGCTTCTTATTGTCCGGTACTATACCTAAACCAGAAAGCAAAGGAAAAAAACAACGAAACTCTCTCCAAAAAGGATTCCTCTCATGATCACCAGATCGCTTCTTCTGAAATTCAAGTTTACGGTTTCCACTTACGTGTCCGTAGTGGTCTTGAGGCTTGCTGGTATACATCAGGAGAACCTAATCCGGGGCATTACCGATGTTTCTTTAATTGCATTGCTATTTCTCAGCGCTCTGGTCCCCCTACAGAACCTATGTCATTGGAGCCACAGGTTTAGGGAAGCAGCAGATCTTGGACGGCAAGCCTAAACCTAAACTGCACATATGGAGAAGCTGCAAGCCCTGAACTATCAGCAAGGAGTCACCCATCATACCCTTCCGGCTTGCACCCTTCGGTTTAGCTCCCAGAGCCATGAAAGCGCTCGAAACCATGCAAGAGATCCCTGTTCAAGGATGTTCTAGCTCACGAGCCTTCAGGCAGGAAACCAAGAACCCCTGACCCTGAAACCCCAAAGCCCAGGCCCTCAATCTCAAGCGCATAACCCTGAAGTGAAGACCTTGCATGTTGCCTAGAACCCATATTCTAACCCCAGATGTCCTCACTATTCCCTTGGATACTAAATATCCCCAACTCTCCAAGAAATAATATCCCTGTGCCTCCCCAGATTCCTTCCATCTCATTTTCCGCTTGATTGTCCATTTGATTCTGCATTCCTAGGGTAATATCCCTAAACCCTAACCCCTAAACCCTAAATGGTAGTTTGCGTTGTCGTTCCCGTTCTTCATTTCTGCATATATATTATATATATAAATATACATAAATATCACCCTCCGCGTATACCATCCCCAACCTTGCTCTTCCGCTTCTGACGCCAGTCCGCCTCGGAATTGCTTTTTAGGAGGATCTTTGTACCTGGATATATCAAGCTTGCCTGGAGACTATTATTCTATGTTCTTGGAAGCTGGGGTTGTGTAAGGTCTGTCATATGGGCCGACCTCCCAAAGCAGGCACCTGTCATAACTTGATCTCTGAGGGTTCGGGGGCAGGGATCGGTATCGACGGGGCTTCAGGTTGGGTGCTGGGGGGATTTGCCGTCAATCTGTTGGCAAGGTTAGTGTTCTAAGATTTGGCAACCCAAAAGCCCTCCGTTCTTAAAATCGCGCCTGGACTCTCACCCGTCCCCGAGAAAGAAACCAGATCCCGTTTGCTGAGGTATAAGGCGACACATGCCCTCAACAGTATACGACGACCCATATATGTAGACCTAACCATGATGCATCGTGGACAACGCAAGCCAGGCTCCGAAATGGCGCCCGTATTATTGAGATGAGTCCATGTGCTCTGATACAGTCTTGTATTTCGTGTGTGGATACCCTCAAGACCCTAGACACAACCTGCCTAAATCCCAGAACTCGAACAACAAACTTCTACCAAAGACGATATTCGACATCTCTGTGCCATCTCCCTTCGGCCTGCCTAATATGGGCTTCATATGGCTTCATTCCTAGGTCCCATTCCCCTTAAGTCCTCTAGCCCGAACCCTGAAATAGTTGTAGCTAATCCCATGTCCCAGGCCGCAAGCCTTGAAGCCACACACCTAGGACCCGAAACCGCATACAGGAAGCCGAGAGGCTGAGATTTGCGTCCAGGCCCTAAAGAGGATGACCTCCACAACGCAGGGCTACGATTGACATGAATTATGTGACTCGAAGTATTTCCCTTAAATTAAATGGTATTTGGCTCCCTGGATAGGGGCCAGGGAACACAGGGATTTTGGGGAAGTGTAAGTACAGTCCATAGTAAGGGACCTTTACGTCATCCTTCTCCTTCAGGATGTTGGGTGCAGGAGGGTCGTAGCTTTGCCATTTGCTGTGTCGGGCCTTCCAGTTCCCAGTTCTCTTAGACAGCATGCTATGTACAAAGCATCGAACTATATACGTAGCATAGAACAGCCTGGAATGAGCAGCGCGAACCCTCAAAAGCATACACGGCACACGAAGAAGTAGGCAGCAACAAGTCATGTGAGCAATAGTCTAAACTCCTAGTATCCCCCTGAATAAACCCTATACTAATCCCCTATATACTCCTCTATTTAACCTCGCCTTCTAAGGAGCTTAGACTCTAGATTGTGCGTGGCCTCCCTTGGAATGGTCCTGAGGCCAAGTAGGTCTAGTGCAATGGAGGAGTGGACTGGCAGCTTGACACTTGTCCATGTGGTACCACTATGGGCTATTGGACCTTGAGGGTACCTTAGTCTACCTTTAAGAGGGTAGGGAATTTTAGGGTCTCATAGCCCATAGTAGTATTCCTCGTCATCGGAATGAATGCATAATTTCTTCGTACTGGTTCTTAAGCAGGGAATAAAAGAATCTATAGGCACTATACAGGGATTACATTCCCTTATTCCAGACTAAGAAGGGGGAGTGGGGGAGTGGATCCTCATAATAATCCAGATACAATCCCCAACTATATATCCCCGTAATAGTACCATTCTTCACTCCCAACTCCCCCCAAGCACCAGCAAGCAAAGGAACATGAAAACCCCAACTGGCCCAGAACACACTAGAGCCCGCTGTATAGTGTTCAAAATCCATTTAGAGCGACCTCACTCTCTCAATCATTGCCGTGGAAGGAACTCTACCACTTGTATGCGAACTTGGGCCCTGTCGCTGAAAAACACAAGTCTTCAAGCTCTCCATACGCCAAGTTTCTATAGGCTTTACACGTAAGCAGCTTCGCACGCACCAGTTTACGTGCCACTATAACTGCCCACCTAACATCCAGAATCTTTCCTGGCGATGCTACCAAGGAAGTTCATGGGAACCTTCAGCGGAAAAAAGGACACAGGAAATCATGAGCAAGAACAACTCCGAACCCCGAGCCCAGACACCCGGAAATCTGACCCGGGCTCCACATGGCAAATAGGGGGACCCCAATGTAGACTCCGAAAACACTATAATCCTTCTTACGGGGACCCCCGAAAGGTACCCCTGAACTTGGGAAACCCTCATATATATAGCCCGAAATGTAGGCCCTGGACCCTTCAGCTCCTACAAGTAAGTCCTTAACCATTTTAAGGTTTAGGGGTTTAGTGTTTAAGAGTACTGAGGTTATGCTCAAGCACAAAATTGACTTCAAAGCTCACAAGCGTCATCCTTATAACTTATAAACAATTGAGTTGAACCCTGGGCACAAACTTGAAGCCCTAAAGGCCCTCATGCTCATAAAGCCCTGAAGCCTGAAGCCCCAACATCCTACCTGGAGCCCAAAAATCTAGGTAAAACAGCCGCAAACCTTTCAAAGTAGTCCAAAAGGCACGTTATTCTACATGGGTCCACGTAAAGCCCGGAGGCCCTTCTTGCCTTGCGCGATCGACCGTCACTCCGGTACCAGCGGATCCTCCCTAAGGCCCGGTCCCGGCCTGGCGTTGGACCAATTTTGGGGTTCAGGGGTACAGGGTAAAGGGGTTTGGGGGTTTAGAGTTTGGGGGTTCAGGGGTTTAGAAGGTTTGGGATTAAAGGGTTTCGGGTTGACACCCCCCCCTAACGATGAACCTCCCTTACTAGTTACTAGTACGTGATTGCATTATATTGTTGGCGTAAGTACATCTTAGGGTCCTAGGGTGTGCCGAAGATTTTGCGGGAGCGATTAACGTGGGGGGCTTTAGGATGCTAGGGGAGAGCCAACCGCACCTGATGTGTTTTGAGGTATATTCCCGGCTCAAAGGGTACTGGGCTCCCTCGGAAGACCCGGAGGAAATGCAGGATATCGCTGCGACCATGAAAAAAATTCCAACCAGAATATAGGAAATCCGACTCTACATAGGCAGACATCCGGAAGAGGGCGACTTCACTGACCCCAACAGAATGCATGAAAGTGCAGAAAGCCTTCAAGCCTTCACACTAAAACCTAGACCACATTCCCTAACTAACCCGGTCTAGGCTGACTGATAGATGCGCGCCTGGCTTCTGGCTTATCACCAAGCGATCCAGCTGCCTTCGCTGCTTTAGGCTAAGGTAAAGAGATCAGAGGTTGGTGGTTAGGGGTGTTGGGGTACCTCATATAGCGTCTCAAGGTATTAGGTTTCTACCCTACATGTCATGAAAGCGCTGAGGACCCATATGAACTACCCAGACTTGAAAGTTCAGACAAAATACATCCGTAAGCCGTCAGGGCTGACTTTGTCCATACGGCTAAAGGTTACAGCCTTGCACTCTTGATTTGCTGTCAATAAATACTGCGGGGCGCCGAAAGTTCGACCCACCCGAAGATCACCGCCCAGGTCTCACGCAAGTAGCAACACGACATACCCCTCAATCGCCAGAGACTCCTCCACAAGGGTCCTCAGGCCTCCTCCGGAACTAAAAAGAATTCCATTTTTTCAAGCAGCGATAAATTACTCCGCTAGCCTGGCCAGTGGAAATGAGTCTTTCAGGACCTCCGCTCCTCCGCAAGACCCGTCTAACACGTAGTCCCTCACATGGAGGTCGGTAGCTCAAAACTTTCGGAGCGCCGATGTATGCAACCTAAACATGTCACATGCAACAAGAACCCAAGGCTCCCAAAGGTCTATTCGCAAGCCATGTCCAAGCAGAGCTCCTTTCTTGGGCTCTTTGAAGCAAAGGCTATATGGATTACTTTCTAAGCTCTAAGTATTTGGGGGGATCCCAGGTCTGATGTCCGGTTCTCTATCCTCTTTTCCCCTACTTAACCTCACCTCCACCCCTAGCAAGAGATATTTCCCATCGCTAGGGTGCCCAGAAGGCCTGAAGCAGTACTATGTGAATGGGGACCAGGTACCAAAGAAGGTATAATTCTTGGGCCCACAACCTTTCCTGTCCAAATTGAAGCAATACAATGCACCTACAGTGCCATGTCGGCACTACTGTTTGTGGGCTAAATCCCGAACCTCGAAGCTATGCCCCATCAGAAAATAGCAAAGGACTCAATTTGCGTGGATCCCTTTAGCTTCAACGCGAACTAACCCACCTCAAGACTAAACCGCATGCCTCAGCTTCTCTCCAAGCACAGCTGTCTCCCAACGCCTCAGCAAAGAGGTTGACTTCAATGGAAGCTTCTGATTTCGGAGTCAGGGTTTCGGACATAGGAGTCAGTGTCGAACGCACAAAGGACCAGGTTCCTTTGCAGATAACCCCTAGAGTAGTTAGTCACTATACAACCTCCAACAAAAATCCCCATGTTCCATCCCTATTCCTTAGTAATATCGCTATTGATATTAAGCAACGGGATAAGGCAGGAGGCCTAACATCTAGAGATTCAAGGCTTAAGATCGGTTTCGCCGCTGAGCTACTGACAGGCAACACAGAAACTGTAGCTGCAAATATAACGTATCCCGAATCTCCGTGCAGTATATACCTTCTCTGTGACTGTGCGTGGGTGGGGGGGGAGACCCATAATTTGAGGAGCTATTCATAAGCAATAGTAGAATACCCACAACCAAGATGCTCATTTTCACCTCCCGCCCAAGTGATCATTGAATTGAATTCCCAAATCCCAACCTGCAATTCCTGCCGTGTCCTGCCGTGTGAAACAGATTGTACAAGTATAAGATATTTAGCCCGACGCCCCAAACCCTAAACAGAGGCGCCGCACAGACCATAACTTGCGGCGCCTCAGCTTTATTACTTGCCCTGCACGCCACGAAGAGCGTATCAATGAGGTCGCCGCAGAAGGAAGTAGCCTGCAGCCACATGGAATTTGAAGACTGTTGGGTTGGTTGGCACAGTGCAGAACGCTTCTGTGGTCTATAACCATCTGCAAAGGACCAAGGTAGTGGTCTAGGATCGCCTTCCCCTAGACTGGGTGACTACATGGCGAGTTCAGCATTAAGCCGGAGGCTGTGTGGGATATTACTTTGGCATGGTCGTGCTCCTTGCCTCGGGGTGATATGGCCGCAAAGACATGGACAAAAGAGACGTGGCTCTTGCACCCACTACCAAGTGCAACCAGCCCCTCCTTACTCGCACGATCTTCATTGACACTCTCGGGCTACGATGCGGAGGTAGGTAAAGCTATGGACAGCCATCGCAATGCGTCCAGCAACAGACAGCAAACCATCCCGAACCAACACTGAGAGGACTTCACACTTCCCAACCGGCAGTTTGCCGAACCTGGCTATCCTGGACACTAGCTGCAGATACCCTATGTTCAAAGCTACTGTACGGACCGGTGACAGCGGGGAGCAGCATTGGTGGGTGAGACAGGGCCCTCAAGAGTTCGAAAAGGATTTGGGGTTGATCGTAAGATGACTGTACAAGGAAGATGGTAAAAAAGGCGTACTATAATCATTTGGGCTCACATATAGTTGTAAAGCTGTGGACATGAACACTAGACCCTCATGCTGGCCTTGAACACCAAACCCACATTCAATTCCTAAATCCTGGATCCTCAGTCCGACGCATCTTAGCCTGGACCGTGAAACGTTACATCCTTTGAGTCCTACACCCCAAACAAAGACTAGCGGTACGAAGCGTAAACAACATGCCCCAGCATCCCTCTTCGAAAAGAATATTGGGAAGGTCTTTTGGGGGTGCCATGTTAATTTGAGAGACTGTGCGGTACAGAAACTTACGGACCTAAGCCCTCAAAAACGTCAAGTCACGGGAATCATTCTAGTTCAAGAATTCTTGGCATCTCCATGTCCCTCATGAACAACGTTCTCATTTAACGCTTAGAACTCAGGCCGCACCTAGACGAGCAATCCCAGAAATCCATAGCGATAACTCTAGGTGTAAGACAACCAGTCGTATGTTGGATACATTCCCTACACATCTACGAAAAGGAGCAGATCCCCTATCCTCCTAGACCAGATTACGGAATGTGTGCAACATCGACCTGACTTCTCTAGCCAAGAGCTTGTGTATGGTGAAACCAATGAGGGCCGGTGGGGCCGTTATAATTTGCCCTGGCCTTGCTGATTGTCTTCGTTGGACCGCATGAGCCCACACCTTGAAACGGTGGGGGAGATTTTCGAGAAAAGGGCTTGGAACCTCTGTGACTGAGACATCCTGTATAAGGATCACAAGCTGGATAGAAGCATAGCTTTGGAAAGCAGACTAGTACATGCGCCTCTTACATCCTGACAAAAAACCGAGGTCTTAGACATCCTTCTTCCCATGAGATGTCCTGTCTACATGTAGGCTTATACTTACTGCCTTGCAACACTAAACCCTAAATCCTACAATAACAGCCAAACGGACTGAGCATCCGGCATATGCTGCTCCACCTTTTGCTTTCGGCGATTGTTGGCAACACCTCGTCCAGGGTGGCAACGGTCTAGGGTGAATCGGCCTAGGGTCTAGGGCTTAGAGCATAACTTAAACAACATGATGCTGAAATCATGTTGCCCCTTTTCCATCTAAATCACCATTCGCGGTGAGGTCGGGTGAGCTCACTACGTTCTGGACTGGTACAAAGGTTCGTGGTTTGGGGTGTGGGTATAATGTTCAGCGCTTAGGGGCCAGTCTCTGTCATTTGGTGACGCTTGCTTCCCGACAAGATTTCTAATTGTAACCGGTCCTAGAATGTCCTAGAATCGCATCATTTGGACAATGTACTCCACAACCCACTCCGAGCCCGCTCCTTCTCTCCCTGCTAGGGGGCAAGGGCAGCCTTTGCACATCTTCGCGAATGCCCAAGACGGTGAGAAAAGTGTGCACTTTGCGGAGGCATCTCCTTGTGTTTACCTCAACCTGCCTGTTGTAAACATGCCCAGTCTCTGAAGCCCCCTTTTGTCAGAAGAGCGGATCTTCGTTCGCGTATCGTTCTTTACAACCTTGAACTCCTCAACTCTAAACCTCAAACTCAAACTCAGCGTAGAAAGCTGTTCTGGCTGCGCTTGAGACAACATTTGAGTGGCCCGGCCCCTCAAAGGGTACTTGGGGGGACTGCTATTAGGATCAGCTGTAATCAATCCAAATCCAACACCCTCAGTACAAAATGAGGACATAAACGCATATTCCCAGTAATCCCTGTGCCCCCCAACACAGATCAAGACAGTGAACCCTATACGCCTACACCCTAAACCTTCCCCCCTAGACCCTCTTTTAAGCTCAGTAATGGGCTCTTTTGCCAGGCTCCGAAAATTACGGCAACGCCCGCTTGGAGGCCTCTCAGGACTTGTTGTCAAGCGGGATTCGAATTTGGGATTGCAGTTAGGGCTGAGGGCCCAGTCGCGGGGCCAAGGGAGCATGGACGCTTCTATCAAGATATTGCTGTATAAGGTTGTTTTTCATTTGTTCTTTCTCACATTCCAGGGCTTCAGAGTTAGGATTTCGGGCATGGGCTCAGGACTACGCGACATTGGGTCTGCAGCTCTAGAGTTTGGCGCATAGCTTAGGCTTGGGGGGCTTACCTGCATACCTCATGAAGTTTCTACACATTTTTGTATATTCAGGAGTTTGTACTTAGTTCTGAGTTCTGACTAGTAACCGTAGACAGTCTTGAGGCCTATCACTCGCTTGACCAGTTCCGGGATTTGAGAAGCCCTCTACGACTCTACAACCAACAGTTTCGTAAGGCGTCGTAGGAACGAGCCTGCAACAGTTGGTAGGTGAAGTTCTATCTAGATCTCCCGAAATAATGGCCCGTAGACTTTGCTAAATCCTATGGGCCATTCCATGTGTTGGTCTAGGCAGGCTAAGACTCAGAAGCGTCACACCTCACCAAGCGAAAAGCCGACAAGGAAGCCAATGCGCTAACACAAGGAAGATTATGGCTCCTTGGCAAAGTCACAGAGCTGACATGCTACATCTGATCCCTAATCCCTAAACTTTAGACCCTAACCCGCCCCCAAACCTACAGACCCTAAACTCCCAACAAGCGAATAAGCATGAAGGCAGGAGCCAGAACAAATGAACAATTTCAAAAAGCTGTCGTGACTAAACGGCCTGTCCCATGAGCCCTCCAAGTTAGTTGCTGTGCACCCTCCCTCCCCGTGCACCCCTTCAAACGACTATCCAGGACACTGGTCATTGTTGCAAGGTTTTCTTGACATGCCCTACTATGCACATGCTAGTCAGTGAAACACATCATCTAATCTCCACTCCACACTTGTTGTGCATTACAAAGGGGGAGGATGTAAGTGACCAATCAGGTTCAAACCTGCAGAACAATAAACACCAAATCGTCAAGCGCCTTTCCAGCAACTTTCCCCCAAACGTTACCCCAGCTACATCTTGGCTGCTAGCCCAGCACTGACTACTTACCAAGCGTACTTACCTCCTATAGGCCTTAAGCCCCCGATCTCAAAACCGCGAAACCTAAATGAAAATCCTGAGGCTCTAGCACAAAAATCTAGACTTCGAAAAATCCTAAGCCCCACCCAGAGATTCTTGGGACTTAGCAACTACTTAGCTTTACGGGGCTATACGCGTGCCTGATTGGCCTCATGTAGAGCACCCGGATAAGTAGCGTTATAACCTCATTTGTACTCCAAGTAGCACCCAATTGCTCCCCACATGCCTTACACCTACATGTCCCTACGTACATGTTCCTTAGGCTACCTTTCTGAGCTACAGTCAAAGCTCCTCGTACCCCCCTTAATAGACCCTATAATTGTCCCCTAGATACCCCCTCTAAGGAATTTAGACTCTAGCTCATAGGAACGACCCCTCGAACTGTCCCCTATATAACCCCCCTTTAAGGAGTTTAGACTCTAGCTCATATGGGGGTTGGATCTAAACCCTAGACCCTAGGCCCTGTGGGAACTGGGGCCGAGGCCGACCAGCGCTGTTCGCTCCACACTCTGCAGCCGCTGCGCCTGGGCGGCACGCTCTGCCTGCTCAGCGTCGTTGGGGAAGGAACCAGGGTTAGCTTGTGGAGATATGTAGGCATTATAGAGGGATTGTATAAGGATTATCAATTTTGAGGTACATAGGGAGTTGGAGAAAAAAGTTCCGGAGAGGGAGGGCTTGGGAGTCCAGTTTTGGTTGCTTAAGCTTCAGGGTTTTACTTTTACTGTCTAGGGTTCATGAGGCTTCGGCTTTAAAGTGTAAGGGAGTTTTCCGTTTCAAGCCTTAGCGCCACAGGGTCTCCACATTTAAGGTTCACACGGAACAGATTTTGGGGGCTTAGGAGTTGAGGTTTCATGGTCATGCCCCCTTTACAACCCTTCTTCGGGACCCCTCAAATCTCCTCAGATCCCCTTTCTATCCACCAAGGCTCCGTATGGACACTGTAAACCAGTATAGAAGGGCACGGTGGTCTGCCTTCAGGATGGACTAGATCTGCTTAGGATCTCCAGTGGAATACAAAGGCTCCCTCTTTCATGCGTGCACAAGGAGCCTAGAGCGGACGAGAAAGCTTTGCAGACAGTTCCTGAACACCAAACCCCGAGCCAAGAACCTCATCCCTGAGCCCCATAATCCCTAGTTACCCATTCGGATGATTTCCAGACTCTGCTGCTAAAAGCTCTTTAGTAGCCGGATGATTTTCCGGCATGCGATGCGCGAACCCCAACCCTGCGCCAAAGCTCTTGACCAGAGCATCAAGCGAGAAAGGGCTGAGGGGGTGCCAAGCTTAAGGCAGGCAAGTTGTCAGCTAGGCCGAAGCAATTGACCCTTGCTTTTTTTTCCAGCAGTCTCAGGTTATGATCCCAAAGGGTGGGGTTAGGGATCAGGTTGAAGGGATCACGACTTGAGGCCTTCGGGATGGGGGTGTAGGGCTTATGGATTGATTCAAGTTTATAGGGCTTTGGCGGCAAGGTTTGGGTTTTGGGCTTGGGGCTTTGGGTTGACACGGAGCTTTCTCAAGGATTCCCTCAGGTGCCCACTGGCAAGGGTTGCCTTTGGGCTCCTTTTCTCAAAGCAACCATGAACCAGTCAGGGGAGCTAGCTTACAACTTTTCTCCAAAGCATTAGCTATGACAATCATCTGGCTCTTGTAATAAAGTACTGTAAGATTCTATTGTTGAGGTAGAAGTTCCCAGGCAGTTAGTGCAGGCGCCATCGTTGATGATCTATGAGATACGGTGGATGGAGGGGATCTTGCACCACGGAGGATCCGAAAAGTATTGTCTTGTTGGGCTATAGTAGTGCAAGATTTCCTGCATCCACAGTAGTATCGGCTTTAAAAGGGAAAGCGGTGGCCTCCGGGCCGAGAGCGGTTGTGCGTGCCAAACTGAAGTCAACGGAATCACTGCAGTTCGCTGTTGTGAGTGCCGGGATCACTGCTTCTCTTGTAGCTTGCGCTGCCCACCTCCGAGTCTACGTCGATCGCATGCCACTCCGCGCAGCCAATCTCCTAGTTTGGAAGCCCCAACCACGACGAAAGATCCTGAACACTAATCCCCGAAGCTAACATTTCACGTATCTCCAGCACCCTCAGGCCCTCTTGCCTAATCCCAAAAGCCGACAGGCCCCAATCCATGTTTACCCAGTAGCCTTCAACTCCAAATTCCCAGGCTAAATCCCTGAATCGGGGGCTGCCTTCAAGAAGCCGCACCAGGCAGTAAAGGCCAACCTCAGATGATCGGCTGCAAATTGCGCCGCCGCCTCTTCAGATGTAGCGCATGTAGGATCTCAGGCTTCCGGACTGAGGTTTTAGGGTTTAGGGTCTGAGGCTTGAGGTCTTCGATGTAGGGTTTTGGGTTTAGGTTTTTGGCTTTAGGATTTAGATAGGTCTTTGGGAGGAGTTCTGAAACACGGGTCCCCTGGAAGGACCGTAGGGATATGTAGGGATAAGAAGTGGGCTCTGTAGATTATTTACGTCCAAGCATCCTAAGCTCTAAACCTGAACACCTAAACCCTGAACCTGGAACTGTCAATCCTGAGCCTGAGAAACACTCCGAGTGTCGAAATAACCAAATCTCAGGTTTCAAATTACAAAATCCATTGAGATATATTGAGATGCTAATTTGGGTACTTTGGCCCTTACAGATGTACACTTTCAATCTGAATCCCCAACAGGGCTCAGAGGCCCGTTTCAAGCACCCTTCAAAGGGATCTATATAAGTCCAGTTTGCGGTACTTCGTCTCTGATCTCTATATATTTCTGATAGTAGTAATACCTGCAAAATGCCAGTGGTATCTGTAGAGGGTGCTTGGGAGGTTGTTACTACAGCCTTACACGCTACAGGCCCTGCCTCTGCCGTTTTACTTCGGCTACGGGCATTCTGACGTGCGAGCGTCATTGCTCGATGCCAGGCCTGCGCTGGAGATCATCAAGGACAAATGGACACAACCCCCATACGTCAGGGATTATGTGTAAGGTTTTATGGCCTCGGGGTGAGGCTTAAGGGGCTTAGCGTTCAGAGG